AAACTTCCAATCATTATGCGCTCCACACTCCTATCCAGTAGGTGGCGGGAATGCACCATTTAAGTTGGTTTGCCAACCGCCATTAAATTTAAAAGAAGAAGAAGAAGAAGGTCGTTGGGGAAAGAACTGCTGTATGATGATGAGTGCGACACTTTCAGTCGACCAACCGGTCACATTACGGTAGAAATCAACCTACCGACCTGCTGTATCCCAGAGGATATCACTCCTCCATTTCATCTAAAGATTCACAAAGGCTGGGACCGAAACTGAACGGCTCTTCGTTATAAAACGGTTATTCCCTGGGTAAACGGGCACATTAGATAAGAGAGAAGAGTCTAGAATCAGCAGACTCTCTGTCCGCACCAGCTCTGGATCCCCGGATCTCTTTGAACGCGTCGACATGAGGAGTTTGCCGTATTTCTGTCGGGGACAGGTCGTCCGCGGATTCGGACGGGGAAGCAAAGACCTGGGCATCCCCACAGGTGAGACTCTCTACCCCGTATGCGACAGTTGTCGCGCCGCGCTGAGTCTGTCTACACTGGACGCGACAAAGCGACCGTTGCAAATCATTTGAACTTTGTGTCAGTAACTTTACGTCATAAATAGAACGAGGCATCGGTTTGCTGTCGGGGATTTGTCGCGCCGCATTCAGTGTAGACAGCATCTAACTAATGGGTTCTGTTCTCTATTTTGTCGCGTCCCGCCGCTCGCGCCCGGTGTAGACGCTAAAGAAATAACTAATCCAAAGATACACATTCTGTCAACATTTATTGAACCTCATGCAGTTTGTGCCTGACTTTCTTCTGTGTGAGAGAAATGAGAAGTGTTACGCGACGTTTCAGAGTGTCAGTAACCATTCACTTCTGTTGAATAGAAAGACGCAATTAAAGTGTACTGTGACTGAGGCAAATTCTGATGTGTAAACGACTACATGAGGTAATGATTTTTGGGTGAACTAATCATTAAACTTGTATTAAAAACAGGCTGTTAATTATTTGACTTTCTTTACACTCAATAGGAGATCAATTCATGTTGATGTCATTCGAGAAACGTGTAATAAAGAGTTTGCTTGAAATTAAACGTATTCAGTTTAATATCAGTTGTAAACATCACACCAGTAAGTTTACTCTTGTAATGAATGTTACCGTTCCGCAAAAGCAATGGCCATTATTATTATATAACTTCACTTACAGGTTATAGGTCTTACAACACGCTTCTGTAAAATGTTTGATTGTGATTGGCCAGACACGACCGTGAGCGCAACAGTGCCCGCCCATCTTTCAGCGGCCTTGGTTCCCCATTCATTTTTCCCATAGGGATTTTATAGAAGTCTTAAAGAGTTAGAAGTAATGAACCAAACTAACGAGCTAAGAGGTGAATCACAAAATTACAATCTTTGGTTTGAAGCAAAGAGTACTTGAAAATCGGGCAAAATGACAAGTCTGTACTTAACAGCTTTAACGAGGGAAAGAACTACAATCCCATGGAGCATTGTGAATGACAACCCATTTAAAATCGATGGAGAAATATGAAAAGAGAAAGAGAAACAATATATTGTAGGTTTATTACAGTATAAGTAATACAAGTAGTTTGAGAGCGCAGGGAAACTGACTGCATTCACAGTGCTTAAAGGGAGTTTTGGCAATTTGCTTGTCCTTATTCTCTGATTGGTGGATTTCTCTTCAGAATCATGAGCAATGTAGTTTTTTCACCAGAAATACAGCTGTTAAACAACTGTTTTAAAAAAATAAGTTGAAATAATGCAGTCTGATGGCTTGTACAAAAGCACATACCATTGATTAACCTCATGGTAGCTCACACTATGTCTGTGTCCATGGCAACACTACTTTTGTGTCTCCTGTATCATGTTTTATATTGACGCTAGTGATGCCCGAATGGTTCTGCTGATACTGCCATTCGTTACCATTTTTAGAAATTCTAATTTTGTAGATTACATAGAGACAGTAACAGTATCGTTTTCAAGAACTTGTTTTCAAAATGCCTAAAGTTTTCTGTTTGTAGTTGAAAACAGTGTTGTGTAAACGCCCCCTCATAATCTGGAAAATACGGTAAAATCATGACTTCATGTGCAAGTATTTTTATTTGTCAGGTAGCAAAGTATTCTCTGATAATAAATGGCTGTAAATTATCCCTTACTTGTCAAGTTTGTCATGTCTCAAAATATAAACACTGATTAAAGAAAATATGAAGCCAGTATTTATTCTTACTAGAGCTAATGTTTTCTTTCCATTCCCATCCCAGCGAACTTCCCAGAGTCGGTTGTAGACAATCTCCCTGCTGACATTAGCACTGGAATCTACTACGGGTGGGCATGCGTGGATAACGGAGACATTCACAAGATGGTGATGAGCATCGGCTGGAACCCTTACTACAAAAACACAAAGAAGTCCATGGTATGTCCATGTCATCCTTTCCAGTGTGCAGACATCTACAAGCTATAGACCCGTTGATAGCTTTGCATTCATTAAATGGTATATTATGTAATAGCAGTATAGATTAATAGTACATCTCTTATGTCAGATATCATGTATTTATCTCTCTGTGTAACAGGAAACACATGTGATCCACAAGTTTAAGGAAGATTTCTACGGTCAAATATTGAGTGTGGCCATGGTCGGCTACATTCGTCCTGAGAGAGGGTTCGAATCACTTGGTAAGACTCTGAGCTGCTCTCTTGAACTCACTCCCACATCACATGATCTCACTGATGCCACCACACCCTGTTCACCCACCCAAACACACTCATTCGGTTACTTTAACTCACGGTTGTGTCTTCTTCCCAGACAAGTTGATAGCAGCGATTCATAGTGACATTGAAGAGGCGAAGATAAAGCTGGACCTGCCTGAGCACTTGAAACTAAAAGAGCATAATTTCTTCAAGACGTCGGTATCGACGACAGCCAATCAGATCTTGAACGGTCATCGACTGTAACATTCACTTTCACCATCGCCTCTATTTAAAAGCCTGTTTATTACATATGCAGTTTATTGTTTTTTATGTACAAAATATTTCTGTCCCCATGTGGTGCTTTGCTCAAGTGCAGGCACTATGTGCATTTATGTTCATATGGTATCATCACATAGCTCTTTTGTTTCTGTATTTATAGCAAAAAGGAGGATTCGGGTTGCTTACTGGTGAATGATCACTGCAGTTCACAGGGTAAACATCACAGAGCCCTTCCCAGAATTCCATGATTACCACAGATGATACTATGTGGAAGTCAGGGAGTGTCAAAATCTCTTCTTTCTGGTGAAATTTCTCTTTAGATGGATAGTTCTTCCGCCACCTTCACTTTAGTTTATTTTTTGTTTAAGGAGGACTCTCTTTACTTGAATAAAACACTTTAACAATTGTCAAAATTGGTGTTCCTCCTCTTTGAGATAAAATGAATGCTTTTTATGGTTCTCGGAGAACCGTGCCCAGAGGGCGGAGTCCAAGGTTGAGAAAGAGAGTTAAAGCACAGGTTGTTGTAATATGATTACAAAACTGTGCAGATGGAGAACAAACAGTGACTGAAGACCAAATTAATTAACCTAAATGGTCTTTTAAATATGTAAGTGTGTATAGAAGATCTGTATAGCAAACACTTGCTATTATTTACATATGGTTTACTAAACATTAACCTAAAATAACATGTCTTTTTCTTTTACACGGGTTATACATTTAGTAGTGTTTTACATTTGAAAAGACACTCAAGAGTCAGGTTAGATCGTAGGTTTACAAATTATTTACCTTTCTCCATGTTATGTTCCTGTTGAATTGGTGCTTGAAACATGTAACGTTACTGCAGCAATCCTCTGTTCCAGTGCGGTCACGTTATTAGCGGAATTAAAATTAATCAAACTTAAACTAAAGTGAAAATAAAACCTGAAGATATAAAAATAAACACTGATTCACATTATACCTATAATAGTATTAGGTTATATTGTTTTGTTAAATGAATATGTTAACCTGACTGAAAAGTGGAAAAGCTTTGTTTTCTTTCCTATGTCCATGAGGATATAAAGAATTTGCCACTGACGATTCAAACCAAGTTTTGAGCAGTGTAGAGTAGCGCTGCTTGTTTGTCATTTCTCTGATCACAAATGCAGACATGGTTTTATGTTTACGTGGCGTGATGTGGCCAGACGGCATCACAGTATGGTAAGGGGCGTAACATTTCCGTCACACGCTTGAGGTATTCGGCCAATCACAACGCACTGGATAGCTGGCCAATCAGAGCAAACCTCGCTTTTCAGACCGATGAGCTTTGTAAAAATCGACGCGTTTCAGAAAGGCGGGGCATAGAGGAGAAACAATAATGTACAGTATGTGGAAAATAATGTGTTTTTTGAACCTTAAACCGCATAAACATTTCATTACACCAAATAATGTTATTTTTAGCAACATCATATGACCCCTTTAAGAAAAGTCAGTGTAGCTAAATAGTTGGTCAGCTTGTCTGGATGAGAGGCTGCTGTAAAGATAATGTCCTGAAAACAGACGCCCTCAAGGGTAAGTGAACCGGCTCGTTTTATTTTGTGCGCTGTTGGTCACGCAGTGCCTAAGATCAGCTGACATTTCAGTGAGGGTTTCCCATGCAATCAAACAACTTGGTTTGATCTAATGGAAATCTGTTACTTGTCTGTAGTTAATCCTTGGTCACATGTACACTACCTTTCAAGATGTTTTCAAAATAAGTCTCTCAAGCTGTGCAAAAATATAGTAATAGTGTGATATATTATTAGAGTTTAAAATAAAGTTCAAAATAGAAGGAATGTATTCCATTTTTTTAAACATTACAAACTTGTGTTTGAAGGATTAGTTTATGGTTTATAGTGCTACATTCATTAACTGAATATGTTAATCTGGCTTGCAACTGTAGTTTCTGAAGATCAGTTTCTACATATATCTGATGTTCTCAGCACTGTGTTAGTTTAATCAAGTAATTAAACTTAACTGAGATAAACCCACAACAAAGAGCCATCATGTTCAATTCATCATACTCAGTAGATAACGGACTGTTAAATCAGCTAACATTTGAAAAAGACTGTCAATACACTGTATAAATCATTTACAGGTCTTAAAGGAATTGTTCGCCCAAAAATGACAATTTGTTGAAAATTAACTCACCCTCAGGACATCCAAGATATAGATGAGCTTGTAATTTCATCAAAACAGATTTGTAGAAATTTGACATTCCATCAGTTGCTCACCGATCTGCAGTGAATGGGTGCCGTCAGAATGAGCGTCCAAACAGCTGTTAAAAACACACAATAACTCCATCAATTAATGTCTTGTGAAATGAAAAGCTGTGTTTGTAAGAAACAAATCCATCAAGGTATTTTAACTTTTAACTATTGATTCTGGCCAAAATACGACACCATAATCCAGTAAAAAAATAAAAAAAAATAAATCCATCCTCCGTTGTCCTCTCACATCAAAATTTCACTGACGTATTTGTCTAGACTATTTCACTTGTAAACAGTGCTTGATCAGTGCATATTTCTCTCCTGATTCAGACAAGATGACTTTTTCACTGGAGAAAGCAATTTTATACATATAGGACTCATATTTTAGCTGGACATAATGTTTTGAAGTTAATGATGGATTTCTTACAAACATGCAGCTTTTCACTTCACAAGACATTAACTGATGGACTGGAGTGGTGTGGATTACTTGTGGATTACTGTGATGTTTTTATCAGCTGTTTGGACTCATTCTGACGGCACCCATTCACTGCAGAGGATCCATTTTCTCCAAATCTGTTCAGATAAAGAAGCAAACTCGTATACATCTCGGATGGCCTGAGGGTGAGAACATTTTCAGCAAATTTTCATTTTTGGATAAACTATTGTTTAGCTACAAATATAAAGCAACAGGCATGACTTGCACATGAATATTGATGACACCATCACATGATATTTAATATTTAGTTACTTGCCAAAAGAGTATTGTATTTTCATGTGCACCATCCAAGCTGCTCTCTTCCATTCAACAGAAGTGGATGGAGACCAGGGTCTGTCAAGAAAACCAAAAAATACAACATAAAAGCATACAAATAGTAGTCCATATAAGCGTTTGAGCCATTTTGAATCCACTTTTTGTAATATACAAGTCAAAATTTACTAAAAATTGATGGTCACCATTCACTTTCATTGTATGTAAAAGAGCAGCTTGCTTTTGTGTTAGAAGAAATAATGCCATTAGGGTTTAGAACAACATCATGGTTAGTAAATGATGACAAAATCATGATATTTGGATGAACCATTTCTTTAATTGTTGATTGGTGAAGATTAGTGGGTTTCTGCATGTCAAAATGTTAATAACGTAATTATATGCACATATCAAAGAAAATAAACAGGCTTTTTATGTTTTATGTGAGAGTATACGTATCATCATATTCCAGCTCCACCTCCACCTCCTCCCCTTCCTCATCCCCCTCCAACAGGCTGTATTTAAACTTTCGATACACTATCCCATCCCTCCCCATGTAAACAATGTCCTCATCCTCCTCCTCATCCTCCTCTTGGCCCACTTCTTTATCGCAATAATCCATCTGCATGCTGTCACTCAGGGTCGCAGAGGTGAAGGGGGCATCTGTGATTTTGGTGTAGCCGTTCAATTTGACGATGGGCTTTGATGTGATCTTCTGCCGAAAATGCAGGAAGAGAAAAATGGCAAGCCATAAGCTCACCAGCACAAATATGGCCGTGAAAACAAAAAGGCCAGGATAAACCGAAGTCACTGGATTGTTGCTGAAGAGGTTGTAGCTCAGCGCGACAATGCATTCATCTGAGAAAAGAGAGGTTAAAGGTCAAAGGCTTCCTAGCTGCAACGGCTCAATGGCTTCACTGAAAGCCACTGAAAGCTCAAGGTGTTTAAAAATGTACAAACTGTAATTTAGTAGCATCTGCCACTTTGAGTGAGTGCTGTCTAATGATACAGTACTATGTGAATCTTACATGGTTGGTTCAAGTTAAGCAATGATGGCATGTTGTCATTACGACAGAAAATACATTTGAAATTGTTTCTCAGTTTTTAGAATCAAACAAAAATGCACACAAGATTGGATTTTGTCAGGCTGTTGAGCAGAAGTATTTCACATCAATTATTCAGTATATAAATATCCAAATAAATAATTGATATAAATATATAAATCATTATTTTATCTGTAAAGCAGTTGAAATATAGCAGTGTTTGTTTTTTTACTAAAAATAAAACTGTTCATTGAAATAAGGCTGAAATAAAATAAAATATAAATATTAGACAAAAACTTGAAAAGTAGCCTTTGCGACTAACTGAAATAAAATAAGCTGACGTACCGAAACTAATCAATCTAAAACTGAAATAAAGTGAAATAGAAATATTAACTATTTAAAATAACAAAAGCACACAAGATTACTAAAAATTAAAATTACAAAAATAGAAATAAAGCTAATTTAAAATATGAATAAATATTGTAATAGCACATTAATAATATGAAAATAACACTATTTATTTAAATAATTATGTTTAAAGACTTGCCATTTTAAATACTCATAAGCATCAATTGTCTTTATAAATGACGGTGATGATGTTCTATCAAACACATCATTTACACTGTAAAATCTTTTCGAGAAAATGTAAATGAAACAAAGATTATTGGAGTACATTTTCAGTAGAAAATTCAATTTCAGGCTTTTTTTTAATTTTGTGTTGCTTGCCGTTTCTTCATGACTGCTAAATGCATTAGCAATTTCTGAGTGAAAATTGTTTCACAGTAAATTGTAAAAAAAAATATTTCAGTGTAGAATGAATGAATTTAAAGCTTGTACCATTCAGTGCGTGGCACTGGCAGCATTCCGAGGGGAATCTTGAGGAATCTCCGCGTGTGTTTTCTCCACAGCAGAGAAGACACCTCCCATCCTCTGTGAGGCGCTGTAGAACAGGGCACGAGGTGCAGCTGTAGGGTCCCGGGCCTTTACATTCATCACAGGACGGGTCACATGTCGCACATGAGTTATTCTGTGCAAAACACAAAGCATGTTAGAAAGAACCTTGTCTAAAATGTTCACACATTTAACCATTTAATGTACGTTTGAATGGCTAAGAAATGTCAGGAAGTGATTAAATATAAGATAAACATAAATAATGAAGGTTTAAGAGAGAAAATTTAATTTAGAAGGTGTTGGTGACACATTAAAACACTACATTACTGATTTGATAAAACTGTATTTAAAAGACATTTACCTCAACGATGGGATATTCCCCAATTAGACACATAGATGAGCAGATTCCTCCAAACATTTTGAAGCCGTCGTAACATGATGTACAGGAGATCGCACCAGAGCCTGCCGATCACGACAGACTAGTTAAATCATGTCATCTGCACTCTGATTGTACTAAAAACTGTCTAAGATGGATTTAAAATGCAGGATATCAGACAACTGATATATATATATGTACACACAAATTTCTGAATTTGAAGGATGCAGATAAAATTAAAAATAAACTTAAGCCTTAGTTGAAATGAATTAATTAGAATTAAGCTGCGTTATCATGTAGGTCAGGGTTTCCCAAATTATGGTTTGCATTGCATGCAAGTAAACAGATAAAACATTACATTTTTTATTTTGACACAATAGCTAGACTTTAAGTGGACTCAAATCTGCCACTCTGAAACATGCTACAGCACTTCATTTCATAATCAGACTAAGCTATATATCGCCATTACTGTGCAGCCCCATTTATTTATTGGACAGTTGTAGGCATGTGATGAGTCTTACCCATGCATGTTTTACAGGTTGGGTGGCATCTTTGGCAATCTCCGTCGAAGGTGTGAAGGAAGTAGTTTGATGGGCATGTACGCAGACACTGTCCGGACTTTCTCAACAGGAAGTATCCATTTCTACATTTGAGACAGAAACGGCTGCTTCCTGAGCATTCCTCACATGTGTGGTCACACCCTTGACATGCTCTGCTGGTGGCGTTCACAAAGTAACTGCAGGGGAAATACAGACGTGTGTTACAATGCTTTGTCATTTTGGGAAGCATCGTTTTTGAATAATCACAATTTAGTTGCATCAAAAGCAAGGCAGTTAGCATTATTATTACACAACACTCTAAAACACCTGATTCTGTATAATTACTGCTAAACTATATATTTGCAACACATCTGTGCTACTTTCATGTTTCTTGTATCACTCTATGGTTTCTCCCTTCTCCTATTAATGCATGATAGAAAAGGTAATTGTCCCAAATGAAAGCAATTAGCTACTGACTGTAGTAAAAATTTCATTGGAGGATGAAAATGAGAAAAATGCTGCATATTCTACCAATTTAACCTGCGCAAGCAGCATCAGTTATAAAAAGGTGGAGTAGAAAAACCTCTCTGGTAATTACTGAACATCTTGCTGCACAGAATACATGTATTTTGTTGCCATTTAGACTGAGAATATTCCAACAAACTGAAATGGTAAATGATTAGTTTCAGCTAGCTCTGGTGAGCAGTCATAGTGATAATGTTAATGTTAATGTCTTATGACGGTGGGAAACCCCCTCAGAGGATCCACAACGTCCTTTCGTGGCCATCTGTTCTCTATCCTATAATGAAAGATAGATGAGAAATTGAAAATGAAAATGCTGTCATCATTTATTCATCTCTCTGTTGTTATAAACCCATGTTGAGTTTCTTTCTTCTATGACAGGTTTTAATGCACCTCCTGAGGAGGAGTAATTGTGGGAGAACGAACCCTTTAAGATTTTTTATGTTTTTGATAAACCCTTATGATTTACCAAGGCTGCATTCATTTGATCACAAATACAGCATAACAGCAGTCTTGTGAAATAGTAAGACAATTAAAAAAAAACTTATTTCTATTTAAATATAAAGTGACATTTATTTCTGTGATGCACAGCTGAATTTTCAGCATCATTACTCCAGTCTTCAGTGTCACATGATCCTTCAGAAATCATTCTAATATGCTGATTTGGTGCTCAACAAACAATTCTTATTACTATGTTGAAAAAAGATGAGCTGCTTAATATTTTTGTAGAAACTGTAATACATTTTTTCCAGAATTCTCTAATGAATAGAAAGTTCAAAATAACAGTATTTAGGTGCAATAGAAATCTTTTGTAACATTATAGATGTCACTTCTGATCAGTTGAAAATATGCCTGCTGAATAAAAGTATTCATTAAAAAAGATATATACTTATGAATAAATCAGAAATATAAAAGTGTAGTTCATAAAAAAGATAAAGAAACAGATGATGGTGTCAAATTTCAAGTCAAACTATCCAATTGCAAATAATAAATAATTCACATATCATACAAAACTAGGTTGCAGCAAATCCTTTAAAATGTTAAGGTATTCAGAAGAGAGCAACATAAAAATCAGAAAAAGCAGCTATACAATTATAGGACAAAGTTTTACATATATGCCATTATAATTTGTGTTTTATTTTGTACGGAATTATAAAATAAAACGCAAATTGTAATCGGGCCTGTTTTAGGCTTTTCCTTATTTTTATATTTTAGACATCCATCAATTATGGTGATGAAAAAAATGACTCGCCATCTCCTCGTTGGATGTGCCTTTAGAGAGAAATGCACAGATTACATAATGAAAGAGTTTCTATTTTCGATTTAAATTATTTCATTTTAAAGTAGCCTAGTAATTTAAAGCTTTCTATATATTTTTATCATGTCTGTGAGGCAATTCGCTGAGTTTAGTTAAAACGTGTGACACATTCGTTCTGCTCCCCCTCCCCCCAAAAAAACTCTGTGCGTACCCTCAGAAGAAATCCTGCAGGCGCCTCTGGTCCGTGTTGAACGTGCTTTTTGTGTACCCTACTTTTTTTAATTTAAATTTGTAGTTAAAATAAATTAAATATGTGCCCTCTAGAAGCCTGCGTTCTGCAAGTGAACGGCACTTTATTGTGCCATCCCAAAGAGGCTCAAAATCACTTTCTCTGACTTTTAAATTAAATGTTCCCTCCTGGTGGAATGACCTGCCCAACTCAATCCGAGC